TAGTATTGCTTTTATTACAGACCAATTCATGATCAGAGAATATAGATATTTAGAACTTGAAGCCCTTAAATTATTACCACTAAACAGACCAGCATAACAAACTCCACTAAACAGAACTAAATAATCAAAAATACTTCAAATCTAAAAGCAAAAAACAACTTTCTACTATCATTAATATAAAATTCCTAATATACATACAATTTAAAAAATTTTTTTTTATTATTTAAACCCTTTTATATTCTAAATCATTGATCATTATACAACATATAGCCAAACTACTTTAAAATTATATGACAAATAAAATTTAAAATTATGGGTAGTAAAGCCACCCATGTGCACATTCTCTAGTTATAAATATTTAATATCTTTAAGGGTAGAGTGTATGTAAATCATTTATTATATGATATGTGTTGTCGATCTTTTTTGTGTAATAGTTTATATAGTAAATACAAATATGATTGGGTAATTACCTGTTTTAGTAATAATTTTACTATTTGTTTTTTTGTGTAACTAGCAAATTTGAAGTCCTTTTGGCAAATTTAACTATATAAGGAAGTATATTTTTTTAAAATAATACGATCTATAAAAATTTTACTACTATAAATAAAAAGTTTAATCTGTATATTACTCAATTTTAGTAAAAATTGACAGTAATTTCAAAAACTTTTATTAGTGACATATTGTAATTTTATGCATAAAATCTCATTGTACTACAAAAGTTATATGATAAATAATTGATATACACTTTACTCTTAATGCTAATTCTGTTTATAGTATATTATAAAAACAAAAATAGTAACTATTCTATTATGTACTACTAGGACTTATAAGTACAATTAATTTATTATAAATTAAAAGTTGTTTATTTCACAAATGTCCTGTAAAAAACATTGAACTATGAAAATAGCTAATTATTTGAATTGCTTGTGTTAATATTAATTTAAAATTCTTATATTCTTTAAATATTTTTCCTACAACAAGATTGAATTGGTATGCCCAATATAAAATAAAAACTTTGCTAATATGTTCTTTTCATATTTCTCATCTTATATAAATTAAAATTAAAATTAATTTAAAATTAACTAGTGGTGAAATTTACCTGCTTAAGAATTGTTAGAGTTAGGTTAGAGTTAGGGTTAGGGTATTAAAAAAATTTTTTATATAAAATAGCATAGAGCTAATATAAAGTTCTGCTTTCATTTTTTATAAAATTTTCAGAAGTTTTGAACATTTTTACTTAGAATACCCGACCTGTTTACTTAGTACGTTTTGAGATACAGCACCCTAGTGAGTGTTAAAATCGTCTTAAAAATTAATAAGTTTTAAAAATATAACTTAAATTAAAAAATTATTAATTAACTTACTAAGCTACAGTATACTCTCTACTTGAGTTTGTTACAAAGCAATTAATATTTATATTCTTTTCTTAGCTTTATGTATTGTATTATTAATATAACAAATTATATCTTCAGTTTTAGAATATTCTTTACTAGTATTATAAACATTCCAAATTAATGGTTCTCTCATAGATGTAATAAACACAACATCTAATAAATATTCTTGTTTAATGTTTGTCCAACCATCTAATTCTGCTATTGCACCAATTTTATTATTTTGAGCTTTAGCCAAAATAATACTAAGCTTGATTTAGTTAATATTTGATTACTAAATGCATGTGATTTAGACAAGAAATTGTTGGTGCTATAAATTTAAAAATAGCCCAAGTTTTAGAATTCTGAAAAAAAGAAAATAGTAGACTATTTGAACCAAGTATTCTTAAAAGTAAATCTTCAAAAATTGGAATATCTTTAACTGATAATGGACATTAAACAAATCCAATAAGAGATGATTGAGTTGATGTTATTGAACTATTAGATATCAAATATTTAATAGAAATATTATCTGATTCACTAGCTTTATCAGACTCTGAATCTAAAAAAATAAAATTAATATAATTTAATATTTATTACGTTAAAATACAGTAATAAATATAATAAATATTTTATCACTCTAATAAAAAGCTCTCTAAGCCAAAGAGATTACCTTAATACCAAAAAAAATATTTTACCACTGTTTTTTTGATTATTATTTTTTTTTTTTTTAGCTTGTTTTCGATCTTCAAATATTTCTAATATTAAGATAATTCTTTGTTCTTCTAGAGTATATTGACTTTTAAAATGTTTACATCTTGCAAGATGTGAGTGACAATTCTTAGCCTTATTAGAAACTCAACACTCTTCTTTTTTTGATGCTACTTCAAGTCCTAAAGCTCTTATACAACATTTACAGATAGAAGCCTGATTTCCTCCTTTGTTGGCAATTTTTTCAGATAAGTAAAAATAAGGATGATAGTTATGAAGTATGCGCTATAAAATTTATATACAAAAAAAGTTCAAAGACAAGCGATTTATTAAATATTAATTAAAAGTTAAATGATTTAAGTCATTTTAGATCATTTATAGTCAGTTGATTTTAGTTATTTGCTTAATTTTAAAATAATACGTGACTAAATTAACCATGGGAATTTAGTCATTTTAGTCACGTCATTTCAAAAATCAAATGACCTGGTCATTTGAGAACACTGTTTCGAGTTGCATCAGTATACTCATGAGCACATGTTTTAAAAACTTTCACATATTTTTAGCTAGAAATATGCACATAATTCATAAGCTTTCTAGCCACATAGTGCAACAAAATTATCAATAAATCTTAACTACGTGCACATCATCTATAAAACTAAATAAAAGTTTTAAAACTATTCATCTTTAGCATATTATATAAAATAAACAATTTATTTATTTATTATTTTTTTACTTATTTAAACAGATTTATATTGCTTTATCTATCATTATTTTATATATCATATATTTTAATTTGTAATTTACAAGTTTATTATAATTAATTACTTTGTAAATGGTTTTTTACCAACAAATTATAGTGCACATATATTTTATAGTATTATAAAAATTTATAGTGCACTAATTTTTAAATTTATTCACATAAATTAAGAGTGTATTGTGCACACTATTCACATATTTTTGAGAAAGATTTTATATACTGGGTTGCATCTAAGGAGGCTTGACTATAGTATAAATAATAGGATTTGTAATTCGATATCAGCAATTACTTAATTCGTTAATCACTTAATTCGTAACTTCTTTACATTTTTTACCATCTTGTATACAACTGTAATTGTATTTTTTATAATAAAAGAAAAAACAACTTATACTGTATTTATCATAATTATGATAAAAAAAAGATCTTTTAAATAAAAAGAGTTTTTAACGATATGCATTACTGCGTACTGTGTAAAGTACAGTACACAAGCTAGTATTTATAGTCATATGGGATCAAAAAGTGGAATTATAGCTGTTTTCAAAAAGGTGTACCCACTATATCATGGGATAACCACATGATTTCCTTGATTCTGTGAATAAGGGAATTCAAAGGGAAATCGAGGTGATACAATGGTTTACACCTGGGTACACCTTTTTGAAAATAACTGTAAATAAAGGCATACGTACGTACGTACATAAAAAAGAGGTTTACCGATAAATTCAATAAACATGAAGTTTAGGCTTAAAAATTAAGGTTTGATGTGTCAAATTTAGATGAAACTTTTGTATATGTATTACTTGTACTGTGCAAAGTATAGAACACAAACTAGCATTTATAGTCATATAAGATCAAGAAAGGCTTGTAAAAAAGTGGAATTCAAGAAAGGCATACGTACGTACGTACATAAAAGAGTTTTTAACAATAAATTCAATAAACATGAGGTTTAGGCTTAAAATTAAGGTTTGATGTGTCAAATTTAGATGAAAATTTGTATTACTTGTGCTGTGCAAAGTATAGAACACAAACTTGTATTTATAGTCATATGAAATCAAAAAAGGCATACATACGTACGTACGTACGTACATAAAAAAGAGTTTTTAACTGTTAACGATAAATTCAATAAACATGAAGTTTAGGCTTAAAAATTAAGGTTTGATGTGCCAAATTTAGATGAAACTTTTGTATAAGTATTACTTGTACTGTGCAAAATATAGAACACGAACTAGCATTTATAGTCATATGGGATCAAGAAAGAAAGTGGAATTAAAGAAAGGCATACGTACGTATATAAAAAGGAGTTTTTAAAAAATCCAATAAACATGAAAGATTAAGGTTTGATGTGTCAAATTTAGATGAAACTTTTGTATATATATTACTTGTACTGTGCAAAGTATAGAACACAAACTAGCATTTATAGTCATATGAAATCAAGAAAGGCATGTAAAAAAGTGGAATTCAAGAAAGGCATACGTACGTATATAAAAAGGAGTTTTTAACAAATTCAATAAACATGGAGTTTAGGCTTAAAATTAAGGTTGATGTGTCAAATTTAAATGAAACTTTTGTACATGTATTAGCAAAGTATAGAACACAAATTAGTATTTATAGTCATATGAAATCAAGAAAGGCATGTAAAAAAGTGGAATTCAAGAAAGACATACGTACATACATAAAAAAGAGTTTTTAACGATAATTCAATAAACATGGAGTTTAGGCTTAAAGTTAAAATTTTTGTATATGTATTACTGTACTATGCAAAGTACAGAAGAAAGGCATATAAAAAAAATAAGAAAACTAATACCTAGTTAATAATAATATTCACACTTTTGATTTATTCATTCGAAAAAACTGTATCACATCTAACCAAAATATATCTTTTTAATAATTTCCGTTAAGTCATCTCCTATTGGTGTTAGTGGCATGTACGTACGTACGTACCATCGATCTACTATTTATGAACGTGCCAAACAAAGATGCGCATATAAACTAGTTGTGTTACCACCGCCGAAACTCGACATTTTCTTATATTATATAAAGTCCAAAATCCAATTTGCAACCAGAACTTTCGTGAGGCAATAAATTGACGCTATTAATAAATTCAAGATTTATTATTGAAATTCTTTTATACTGTACTGATTGGTATCATTCTTTAAATCTATAAAATGTCTTCGAACAACAACGATCTAAGAATTGTTTTTGTTGACTCTTCACGACAAGTTTCTCGTAAAAAACTTATCGAAGAAATTCAGGCTCTTAAGAGTGAAAATTCTTCCTTAAATTCTAAGATATCTTCTTTAGAAGCGGAAATCTCTTCTCTTCGTCAATCTGTCTCTCAACTGACTATTCTCGCGTTCCCTCCCGAACTTTAGTGTTATTTAGTCTAGAATTTCTGGTATCATGGATTTATTATTTTACAATCTTTTGCTTCTCTTATAGCATGATTCTTGACATTTTTTTTATTTTTGTGGATATTTACAATTCTTTTATATTACTGCTTTTTAAAACACAAACACTGTGTTAAGCATATATGACACTTTTTTGTAAGAAAGATAATAAGGTAAAAAACACGAACTACAGTTATAACAGGATAATTCAATTCATAATAAGTGTATTAGTGTATTTAGTATATCTTATTTTTTTTTTCTTATTACTGCTAGAGATCTTTTTTTCCACAGCTGTATAATTCCATATCATTCCATGATTACAATTAGTTTACTAATGTTAAGGTCAAGGTAATTTTTCGTGTTAAGATAAGGCTTGGGGTCAGCTACAGTAGTGTATTATCATTATTTCAAATTCATTACAATAAAATCACATTGACTAAATCGATTTCATTAAAATTACACGTGTAAGTAACCATATCTGCTGATTTCGATAAAGAAACCCATCTCTTCAGTGACACACTTCATTAGATCTATGAAATTATATATAATTAACGCACCCTAACCTGGAGAGTATGGATGTATAACTTATTGTGAGTTATTTTTAAAATGTAAGTTACATTTTAAGCTATGTAAGTTACCATGTAAGGTAAGTAATGTATAATAAATCATCTTTTAATAACCTAAATTTATTCTGGACTGCCTGCTTTACTATAAATATATTTTGGAACTTACATAAGGTCACGTAATTTACAATGTAATACTCTGTCAGGTAAGTTATTGCACCACTACTGGAGAGATTGGTTTTCCTTATCGAAATCAGCCGATATGCTGATATACTTCCTAAATCTTGTATACAGTATTATACTATATTAAAAATTAGGGTATTTTCTAGAGTGTCCAGGATTATAATATCCGTATGATTTACCTTATAGCGCATAAAATATTCAATTTGCATAATTTAAAGAAACACGCATAATCTGCACATAATCTAGCTTTTCCCAAGAAAAAGATACTCTATAGGCCAAAATTCAGTTACACAAATAATGTTATCGCCGGCATTATCAAGTCGGCCTAGATTATATTATAACGCCAGTAATTTTTCGTAATTTTATGTAGCATGAATAGCGCTGGCCAACTATCAGTACTTGGTATACTTTTTAAAAATTAAATTATAGCTCCAAATGTAGTAACAGCTGTCGATTGATAAATACTGGTCAAACTTTTGTTAGTATGATTTGTATGTAAAGTAATTATTTTAACTCTTCTAGCATTACCTAAAAATTTCGCTATAATAGTATAAGATTAGTGTTATATTTTTCTATTAGAAAGACTTTATCAAATAAAACCAAAAATTTCACAGGAAAAACTTTTTGTTAGTGCACAGAAGGCAATTTAATAAGTAAATTGCTTTGATTTTTGTGCGTTATTATACAAATATGATTGGCAAATCATAATTTCAACCCTAATTCTGGGGTCCACATAATTTAAGATTTGCCGCACGCATAATTTTGCATTTACCGGATCATAATTCTGGACACTCTACCGGAGATATTCCCGGTATCATGTGATGGGATCGCAACCAATAGGGTGTCCAAGATCATAAGCGAAATTATACACGTGACAAATCGTAAATCATGCATATATTAGAAATTATGGGACTACAGAAACCCAATACACATAATTCCGACGCACAAAATCCTGAAAACAAAATCCCGACAACATTAAAATCCTGACATTCAAATCCTGATTTTGTTTTCAGGACTTTGTGCGTTAGAATTGGTCTCTACCATTTCCCGACAAATAAGATTCGGACAATTGATCGGAACTAACCATTAAAGTACAGAATTAGTTAATTATACTTAGTGCTTGTAGTCGATTTTGTGTTAGTCGATTTTATCGACTTAGCCGGCTTAGTTAGCCGATTTTTCAAAAATCGACTTAGTCGATTTTATGTTAGATCATATTAAAGTAACCAAAAGATACATTACTATGTGCTAAGAGTAGGTGCCGAAAAATCCCGAAAAGAAAATCAACGAACAAGGTCGCGACAAAGATTTGATAAAATTTCCGATAAGTTCCGAAGATAAAGACATTACAGCTGTTTTCATTATTTTGTGGACATTTCAAAATTATTGATGATAGAATCGATAAATTTTTGATGTCAGTAACTTGCTGTCAAATTTTTCAGATGTCCAAAAAATAATGAAAACAACTGTAATCGACTTTGATTTAGCCGGCTAAGCCGAAATTTTAAATATTGACTTAGTCAAGTCGATAAATAAGGATCGACTACAAGCACTACATTAAGTAAACAAAATTAAATTTCATACTTATGCTGGTAATTTATTAAACAATTAAATAATTATAGTTAATTATATATTGTCCTAAAACACAATTATTAAAGCTTTTTGATAATTACTTTTACTAAAAATTTCCAAACAAATTTCTTAATAAAAATACAATAATACTTAGTAAAAATAATGAAAAGATAAAATACAACAATACTTAGTAAAAATAATGAAAAGATAAAATGAGAAACTATAAGACAGCATTGTTATTTAGAGATAGTTCTTATATACTACCTATTAACAAGTTCAGAGTTTATCACTTACTATAGTACAGAATAGCACTTGTTATTTAGAAATATTTCTCATATACTATTTGCTAACAAGTTTAGAGTTTATTACTTATCATACATTACAGATTAGCAAAATATATAAATATAAACTTATGTAAGTTATTATACCCTGAAATATTGTGCAATAATTACAGTCTGAGCAGAATATTGCACAATAAATTATGAAATATTACATAATAAATTTTGAAATATTGCAAAATAAATTTCAAAATATTACATAATAAATTTCAAAATATTGCAAAATAACTTTTGAAATATCACGTAATATTACATAATATATATATTTTTTTTTAAGTATTAAGGTGACCTCTATAGCCGGGAACTTTTTATTAAGTAGACTCAAACATTACAATTATAACAAAAGCACATCAAGCCACACGTGCACCTTTTGGGTGCCTAATTTAAGTAGTCCACCCAAAGCAGTAGTGTTATGCTAAGGGTACTACACTATCTGCTGTATCTGCACCCCAACTAGGGGGTACCCATTTAAACCCTCTGGTTACAACTATGCAGCAGCTTCTACCTAATCAAAGCATAACTCACTACATATAGAGATAGATTTAGCGACACCTATAGATTTTGCATCCACCTTAGGACTTACTAAACCCCATATTGAGCCTAGTCTATCTATGAGGTAAACCTAACAGAGTAGTCCATGTCCCACACATGTTTTACCTGCATGTTCAGTAATTTCTTCCCAATTAGTATATATTGTCTGCCGCCATTGTGTTCGTATCTCATGCCACCTTTTGGGGTGTTGCCGTAACACAATCTGTATCTCAAGCACAACCTTCCTAATTAGTCTTCCATTACATACTCCTGCCCTTGTTCAGTTTACAACAACCCCAGTACCCACACTTCAACTATCTTTTTATCCAAATTCTCTATTGGTCCCTCCCTTACTTCCAGCCGGCAACCTGAATGGGTTGGTCTGCCCAGACTTTATGTGCCTGAAGGATGCCCTCCCCTTAGTCCATACTTTCAGAGCGTATAACCTTTTTCTTTGGTGTGTCTAAACCGGCAGTTCGGCTGGTGTGCCCCCCACTAATAATATTACATAATATATTTTATAATATTATGAATATATTTTAAAAATTTGCACAATATTTTGAAATAAAAAAAAATGCAGAATTTTATTTTATTAAAAAATACATATATTAATAAAATATATAAGCATAATATTATGTAAAATATTATGGCCTGTAATATTTGTATATCATTTATTTTTTTAAGTAGTGATTTTTTTAGTTAATGATATTTATATGATATCTACTTGATATCGACAAGATTATTACATTATAATACACTAATTATATAGTTTAAATTATAAACTTTAATTTTATTTTTTAATAATTATTACAGATTTGAAATTGTTATATCTAGCAAAGCATACAATCGTCTTAATTAATTAACACAATATATACAATAACTATTCAAAACAATTCTATATGAAGAAGTAATGAAAAGAAATCTAAAACCTACTTGAAAAAAAAGAGAAAGGTGGTAATTAAATGTGTTCAAGAAAGAAATCAAAATCAAACAACAAAATATATAGTATTTACAAAAGCCAGAAGTATAATTTCATACAAAGAAGCAATAAAGAGAATTTCAAAGCCCATCTTGAAATAGAAGAGAGGTAGTTAAACATGTTCAAGAAAGAAATTGAATTTAACAACAAAATATATAGTATTTACAAAAGCCAGAAGTATAATTCCATATGAAGAAAATTCTAAAACCTATCTAGAAAAAGAAGGGTAGTAGTTAAACATGTTCAAGAAAGAAATTGAAATCAAATAACAAAATATATAGTATTTACAAAAGCTAGAAGTATAATTCTATACAAAGAAGTAACGAAGAGAATTCCAAAACCTACCTGAAAAGAGAAGAGTATAGTTAAATGTGTTCAAGAAAGAAATTAAAATTAAACAATAAAATATATAGTATTTACAAAAGCCAAAATATAATTCTATATGAAAAAGCAACGAAGAGAATTCTGAAACCTATTTAGAAAAAGAAAGGTGGTAGTTATGTGTTCAAGAAAGAAATCAAAATCAAATAACAAAATATATAATGTTTACAAAAGCTGGAAGTATAATTCCATATAAAGAAGTAATAAAGAGAATTCCAAAATCCACCTGAAAAGAGAAAAGTGTAGTTAAACATGTTTAAGAAAGAAATCGAAATTAAACAACAAAATATGGTTGATATTTAGTATAGGTGGGAATATATAAATATTATAAAATTATTTAATATAAAAATAATTATTTGAACTAATCTAAACAGATTTGAGAATAGTTAGGGTTAGGGTAAGGGTCATAGTATAGTTTATAGTTAGCTTCGGGTTAGGGTTAGAGTTTTTTTATATTAAATAATTTTATAATATTTATATATTCCCATCTATACTAAATAAGATCCCAAAATATATA